CTGCTGAATGTAAAGATTAACAAATTGCACATTCCTGATCATAGCTTCCTCATGGGATTCATGACCATTCAACACCAATGCAGTGACAGCGTGAGGATACAGTTGTACCGTCTGTCCCCACCAGAGGGTGGGTGGTTGTACTGAACCTCCTATCTGAACATCACAGCTGCCAAAATGCAACTCAACATCAGCAGGTTTAAAATAAACCTGAGGTAAGCACACTTTCACAATCAAATTTCCAAGATTTCAGCCAATAAAGTGTCCATCTGAAAGATAAGAGAAAGGACTAGCTTTGTCTGAAAACTCAAAAGCATAAGGGCTCTGGTATGCACATACTTCCAGGAGCAATCCTATTGAACAGTGATGCACGTGACTACTGAATTCTTCTGAACACATTTAGGTGGGCAGCTCACATACCCTATCTTTATGTACGTAATTTCAATTTGCTTACACAACTGGCATATCAAAATCACATTACTTAGCCCAAATAATTCCCAGTCTGTATTACAGATGCATATTTTGTGAGCAACATTCCACCCTGTATCACAGTTCACACTGAACCATTTCAGAGCTCCGAGACAGACACCTGACATCTCTGGGAGATACAACAGGGCTCAGCGAGGCCATGGGCATAGGTCTGCAATCACTGTACACCATGAGCTATTTCAATCATTTGCCAGTAGCATTCCACTTGATTAAAAATAGTAATTATCCACTGGCTTATTATTTTTACATTGTTCATAAATACAATTGACATACAGAACACTGCATTCCCCCCTTGCCTTTTTTACATTGCCTTCTTTTCTGGCAGTCCACAGGGTTTCATTTCAGCCTTAAAAGAGTTTTATTAATTTCAACTTACGTAAAAAACCCACAGGACCTACGTGGCCCAACTGTGATGGCAACTCAAGCAATATAAAATTGTGACACAAGCTCACCAGATAGCCAGCCACCTGTGACAATACACCAAGTTATGGCTCCCTTGCACAAGTAATGGATTTTAAACCGCTATGGTTGAAAGCAGGCATTACAAATCCTTCCACAGGTTTTGCTGTATCTGCAGCATGCCCACCTGCCTTGCCTCCTTTCTGGACTGAACAATATGCTGTCTATACCTTCATTTCTTCTGACTCCAAAAAGAGAAAGCAGTGGGAACAGGTGGAGAACATGCACATGGACAACTTACCTTAAAAAACTTTAGTTGTTGGCAACTTCTTTGAACGCTTGCCCAGTTTTACACTTACACTGTCGGAGAACCCAAGTAGCAACCCATCCAGTTTGCTTGCACAACTTCCCTGGAATGGGTCTTGCTGTCCTCAAGGCAGGGCCACTGCAGTACTAGAACAGACTGCACTGCTCCAAGGTGACCTGGCAGCTGTAAAACGGTTGACCAAGGAGGCTGAACTTCCGTGCTCACCCCTACAGGTGCTAGGAAACTAACTTAGCAAGGCAACTGATACAACTTGCACTCATTAGTTTCTGAACTTTGCAAAGATGTAAAAACACAGTCAAAACTGATTTTGAGAAGGATTTAAATTCAGCCTAAATAAGAAAACTTGCAAAATTACATACTTCTGTATCACAATGTCTGCTCTGACACCAAAGTTGCAAAGACCAATAGTTACATCTCTGGTACAAGGATTGGGCCTACAGGACTTCTCATCTGGATGGGCTATGAGAGTAGACAAACAGTTTAACCTTGTTTGCCAAGTAGGTGTATTACAGACAGGCACATTTTTAGAGGCAACTTACTGTTAGATACACCAGCTTTCAGAACCTTCTGCCCTCGTGATGCAGGAGATCTGTTTTTCAGCCATGTGCACTGTTATCTGAAAACAGCCACCCTCTGTGTACAATGGAAGAAAACCTGGAAGTATTTCAGATTACCTGGAATTACTTTCATTAGTGTAAGGGTGTGCTTCCTTGGAGGACCAGGTAATCTGCCTACTTTTGTCTGGTGTCCCCAGGGAACCTAAGCTAAGAGCTGGGAAGTGTACATCAGAACAAAAGATATAGGGGGGCCTGCACTGATGATTCAAGCACATTGCATCTTAACTGTATGATACTTAAGGATTTACTTTGTAAACCACACTTAAGGTTACAGTTAAAATGCAATTAAGATGACTGAGCCACATTTAATACAATACACAGCAGCTCTCGAGATATGAACTCATGGTATTAAAATTAAGAATAAAAAAACCTCAGCCTAGATCTAGAATGGATCAGAATGGTGTTTTGTAACATCATTTCTTCCATCTCTTAAAGCACACCCACTTTTTTTCCTATATATCCATCTCTTCTCACAATTCCACAATTTCCTTTTTTCCCTAAAGTTTATTTTGCAATTTCCATTAACACAAAAGTTAAAGTCACTGGGCAAGAGCATACCTACCAGTGTCCCCCACTCACCTACTTCCTGACTACTTCCAATTTGCATAAATATATCAAAGTGTGGACATGTCCTGTCAGGTCACAAGCATGAGATGTCTGGGAAAACAATTAGCCATCTAATTACATGTTAGACAGCATTAAAAGATGTGCAGCTTAGTATTTTATCTATTAGAGCTCCATGAATATATAAGAAGTTAAAAAATATTCCTGCTTCCATTGTTGACTGAACCCAGTAACATAAGGATAGCATTTCTTCTGTTAGATGTAATGCTTCAAGTACTGAAAGTCTAAAATCCAAGATTCCTCCAAATATTATGAAAGTATGTAAAAGTTTAGAAGACTGAAGCAAACATCAAAAGATCAAGAACTCAACAGCTGAAAGACAAAAAAACCCAAAGTACTACCACCAAGAGAACTGTTCCTTCAACCAACTCAGAAGGATTTCCTGAGATACTGCCCAGAGCACATGAAGACTACATGGATAAATTCTGAGAGCTTTCTGCCAAGAAAAGTGTAACAGATTGAGAAGGATTTAAATTCAGCCTAAACAAGAAAACTTGAAAAATTACATACTTCTGTATCACAATGTCTGCTCTGACACCAAAGTTGCAAAGATCAAGTTTCACAGAGGTCACTGAGACAGCATGGGGGCTCTTGTACTGCAGCAGGAGGTTGTTTCTAGTCTTGTCATGACCAAGTGCTCAACTCTTGCATTCTCTGTAAAACGTATTGTCAAGAACAGTGCTGTCACAGACATTTCAAACACACTGTAAAAACTCAGCCTTGGAGACTGATTTCAATTTAACTTTTAGAGGAAAAAGATGGCTAAGTATTTTTTCCAAATACACACTCTTAACTAAATCTGAATTTACTAATATGTATTAATAGTCCAATCACAACAGCTTTGACATCTGTAGTCAGCATAGAATCTGCTGTGCAATTCACAATTTTCAGAAACAAAGTGCTCATCTACACTTGCACGTGATCATGTATGATCCAGCCTCAGGTTTTCCTTTCTTCTATTTCTATGGGATACATTAATGTGCTATATAACAACTCTTGGAACTCTTGCTGCTCTGAATGTCCAAAAGGAAATCAACTCTTAAAAGTATATGTAAGAAGGGATCTTGTTTGCAAAGGAACTGACTGAACTCCCCTGTGCAGGAAGCAGTGCTGTGCAAAGACATCTTCTGTTAAGGGAGTAAGGAAGCAGGATGTAACAAGTAGCTTCACATTAGTAACTAACATTTGGATTTTTGGAAAAAGGGGAAAGAATGTAGTCATTGAGTGAGACCCACAATTTAATTGCTGTTTTTCAATCAAGTATTAGAATAAATTTCAAAAGATGGTATCCTTGTAAAAAGTTTATTCTACAACCATCTTTAACTCACTAAAACTGGTATTCCAAAGGGAATCAGAGGTTTTAAAAAAATACCACATATATTTTTCCTTTAATTTTATTTTTTTTTTTATTTTTGTAAGTTAAATGAGTCAAAATACTGGTATTCCTAAGTCATCCATCTTGCATGTTGATGAGTTAAGTCTACCATCATTGTTCTCAGTTACGAAATTTCAAAGTCTCTTTGGAATACTAATTTCATATTTATAGGTTTCAACTTTTTATTCCATCCTATTTCCCTGAATTTTTCTCAAGACAGTTGCTGATGTAAAATTTAATATAAAATAGTCATAAAATAGTATTGCTTTTATGCACATTGTGGTAAGATTATTTTTTTTTCCAATAAAAACTATACCATCGTCCATAAAATCCTAAACATATTAAAAACTGTGATGCAGAACAAAATTACACAGGGTGAAACAGGTACCAGCACAACAGTGAGATTATATTACATCAAAAAATTTTAATGGTCCCAAATATATACTCAACAACTAAGCATACACTCAGGGGGGCAAAAAAAAAATAATTATGACACAAAAGTGACCACATCTAGAATTCCACTCAATCTTTAATCAAGAAGGGACAAACAAATCCCCACCTCCAAAAAAAAAAAATAATCTGCAGTTTAAAGGGCAAAGGGAACAGATTTTAAAAAAAAAAAAGGAAACTTTATATTCAGCCCTCCCCCATAGAGGTTTTTAAAACCTGTTGTAGCTTGACTAAAATGTTCAGAATGTACGATTTCAAAGGCAGGTCTCTTTTATACAAAGAAACTGCTGGCATTCTTAACTAGTGAAGAATTATGGCAAAACCTGCCTTTTCTTCAGAAGTCTCATACATGGTCCAAGAAAGCATATTCTGATTGTAGCAACTGACCAGCCAATCCAGAGTTCCACTAATAAAACTCCTGCCCTGTTGGCTTTTTTGTTTGCCTTTTTTTTTGTTTGTTTTCCATTTCCTTCCCTGAGAAAAGGGCAATGTGTGGTCCAAGCTGGAGAGCTCAAAGGCGTCTTTCCCCTAACCGAAATAGTTCCCCTTCTTCTGTTCCTTTGAATTGGCACTTGATTGGCAGAAATCCATTTGTACAGGTTGATCTGTGTCACACATAGTAATTCACAAAAGATTGCTGCTCTGCTGTGGGTTTTGTTTTTGGAAAAAATAACCTTCCCCCAACTGATAATGTTCTTCAGCAGTTGCCATTATGATGACTCAAGCTTTGCTTTCTTTGACAAAGGTAAAGTTTCCTCTTTATCTTCATCTTCATCATCCTCTTCATCATCATCAGGATAATCTACAAGCCCAACGAGGCCTCCCTACAAAGAGAAACACACAATTACTATGATTCAGAAAATGTTTTCACACAGATACTTCACATTTATATCGGAAGATGATGTTTGCACAGAATATTGCCGTACAAGTACTGATTCACGAAGTTCTGCACAAAATGGAGTGCAACAAAAATAAGTCCGTCAGTATTAATGCAAATGACATTGTCTCAAAAATGTTTTAATTGGATAGGAAAAACTCCACTTTGGATTTATCAACGGATAGAAATATTTCCAGTTGAAATTTGAGAAAACCCAAAACTCTACTTAATTTTGCTAAGTGTTACTGCAGCCCTCTGTAAAGCATAGCTATCTGCAGCAACAAACAATCTGGAAGCACTTCAGAAACCAATACAGAATATCCTTAAATCTGAATTTCTGAATAACAATACTTTCAGAACACAGCTGTGTCTTCACAAAAGCTATTTTAAACATATAGTAAATTCAATAATGTTTTGTATCATGTAGTTGAATGAGGTGTACAGGTAAAAAAATTTAATCAACTTGGCAGCTGTAAATGAAAGCATACCTAGTAATATTAAAAACTCCAGTGTATTGTAAATAACCAAACATTTTAAGATTAGGCAGCTCTGGACCCATGAAGAAGTAGCATGAACTTCCAAAGCTTCTTCTAACAACGGTGTTGCAATTCCTGAAGCTTAGGTAGAATTTGACTACAACAGTACTTACTGCTACTTTACTCAAAGATCATATTACTTATTCATATAGCTAATGACAACCATCCAAACCAGAAAATTTAGCCAACCATACAACAAAATATAACCCCATTAAAAGATTACACATAGACTGTACAGTCACATACAATATAACACTAAGTACATTACACATAAAATAACAGAACCATATAATTAATGAAAAAAACAGTGTCAACACTGTTTCTAGTCTGCAGCTGGGCCAGCTATTCTGAACAATATTAAAGAAGGTAACAGCAGAAATTCCCAGTGGGGGTGGTGAGACCTCACAGAGTCTGGGAAGATTTGGCAATGTTTCCAATGCACTTCTGTATTTCTACCTGCCAAATATCCCTGTGCAATTTAGCAACAGTAAAGTGTTGTCTGTATTTCACAGTAAAGATTGCTGCAAAGAGCAGCAAGTTGTGTGCTTCATACTTTTAAGAGTATGGGCATTAAAAGAGCTTTTATTTCTTTTTATGTACATGCCAGATCTCCTTAAGAATGCAACAGGCCAGAGAAAAGCACAAGCAAAGCAGACAGTCTATTGCTGCTTAACATGTCAGAATTCACACAAACTTGAGAAAGATGCTAAAGCAAATTCCTAGTGAAACAATTAAGTCAACTTATGTCCATTCAAAATTACCTTAGTTGTAATAGCTGCCATCTGAGATGTGCTTTTAGAAACTGATCCTGGAGACCCAGGGGACCCTGGGGATCCAGGAGACCCTGGGGACCCAGGCAGATTACTTGCAGAGGACTGGCTGGTAAGGTTAGATTTTGTACCACTGGAGAAGGAAAGCTTGAAACTGGGGCTTTGACGCCCTGAAAGGTTAGTTTTCAGAAGAACTTCTTTTTCTTCACTCTCTTTTACTGGAGAGAAAAAAATAAACACAAAAGTTTCTGAATATTATTGCAGAAAACATTTAATTACAAACCACTTTACTGTGTGGGAAAAGGCTTAATACTTTATGTATAACTAGGTAAAGTGAGTCATTACAGACTTCTTTTTCCATACTAATACAACACCTACCAGCTGTTGTCATTGGCCAGGAAAGAACATTTCTCTTCTACCAATAATATCAGTTGAATAGTTACATAAAAATTTTTTAATTATAAACCTGAATAAAACACATAAAAACTTGACTATCAATTAAGATTGTCATTCAAATGCTTTAAGAAATCAACAATAAAATTTTGTATCATTCTGCTTTCAAAGACAATAAAACTTGTTTTGAAGGGGTGGTACACCAACTTGGAGTCACAATTTCAAAATCTAAGAACTTCAGAACAAATACATGCAAATCCTTCTTTGCAGCAGGGCTAAAGAATACAAGTTAGGGCTTCTTCATGAGTCACATGGCATTCTTCTTATCATCACTTACATTTTTTCCTTTCCATGAATTTACTGATAGGGTCCATAATATCTTCATCATTTTTAGTTTTGTCAGAAGGGGGCACCACTGCCTCTCCATCTTCCATATCATCTTCATCAGTATTAAACCACATTTCTTCCTCATCCTCCAGGGTTCTCGCATCCCTTCTGTATCTGTGGTTTCTCAGAATGGAGCGCATGCTGCAGAACGGTTAAGGTTTAAAACTTTTGATTCAAAAACCAACTCACTAATAGTAAAACTTCCCAACATTTGCAGTGACAGCTTACAAGTACTGCAGCGCAATAAAAACACCAGCAAATCTTTCTATAATGTGAATCTTTGTATTTTCAATGCAAATAGGATTAAAAACTTCTCTTTGTAAAGAATCAATGTACAAGTCTGCTAATACCACATTCCCACTATCTGTCAAAAATTCTGTAAAAAATGAACAAACTTACAAAGCCTGCATAGAACATGACTAAAAGTTTTTAATAAATGTCATGAAGTGTTGCATTCAGACTTGGTTTAGCAGTTGGTACTGGTAAAAAAAAAAGTTGTAAAACAAAGAGTTTAGAAACTACAGACTTTTTTTCCTGAGAATACAACTCATCAGTATCTGGGGTTAAGTGAGTTAAAGAAAAAACCCACCCCAATATCTAACTTAATTATTATTCCAGTTTAAAGTAGGCACATTAAAAAGACAGCTTTCTGCCACATGCACCTGTTACAATTTTTGGTCAATATCAGTATTTTCCATTCTTCAGGGCCTTGAATACAAAGTGCTATTTCTCTCTCCCCATTTAAACTACTGTTGGTGCCAACTCCACCCCTCCTTTCCCTTTTTCTCACAGAAGCAGTATCATGGCCTAGGAGGAGAAGCACAGTGATGTGCACCCTGAAGAACAGAGGCAGGAGTAAAAGAGAGGTTGAAAACACTTCATTGCTAAATGTCAATTTTAATAGTAAATTCCCAATAAAAGCATGAAACCCTTGACAAATTTATCTGTAGCACTTACTTAAAATTTACTGGCCACAAATTAAATCTGCAATTTAATGTGTTTCATAAAGCTATTGTTACTGGAATAAACATATAACTAATACAATCTGAGTTTAGTCTATTTAGAGATCTAGTTAGAGTATAGGCTTGAATTTCTCTGCTGTTAACAGTGATAAGCTTGCCTGACAAGCCAAAAAAAATCTCACCTGTAAAACATTAGTACTCAAAGCTGCAAATCCTGCACATAATCTTTAAAGTGCTTCAACCTTTGAAAACAAATCTACATCCATACTCTCACTTTAGTTGTACAAGTTTTAAATTTAAATACTAGTTAAGAAATCTTGTGGCAGGAAATAAAATATCTCTAGAAGTCTGAAGTTTCAACATGTCCTAGTATGACTAATTAGGATTAATAATTTTATGTTTTTAAAACTAATTTGAGACAACAGAGTAAGAACAGACCTTGCTGACAATTCTGAAGAGTAACTCATCTACTGACACAAACAGTCCATTTTGTTTGAATGATACACATAAAAGTAGTACCATTTGCCAAAAAAAAAAAAAAGTGAGAAGTCCTATTTTTATATAACCTAATCTTCTGACTTTGGGTAACTGTGAACTAAAGAAGAGAACTTTTCCTCTAGCAACCAGGAATGATCCAAATATTATATCCGATTGTTAGATTTGTTGATGGAGTAAAAAACAATTACAAAAGAGGATCCTCTAAAAATTTCTCTATAAATTCTACTTCTCTGTCATTTTGGTAGAGCTTATTTAAATTTCTAATCCCACAAACTAAAATAAAAGGAAATATGACATGAATTTTTAAATAAAAATCCATAGAATTATAACTTACAACTGAATAATCATTCAAATCAAACAGTGGGAATCTGCTATTTAAGCAAATAAACCTCAGATATTGCTAAGACTTCCAGCCTCATTACAGTAGTGTTACACAAGTTTAGGATATGACAACTTAGCATTTTATTGGGGTCCAGCAGCTAATATGTTAGCTGGAAGTTTGAAGCAATGCATCTGGAAATTACACTATCAAGTACATTCAACAATGCCAGAGATGCAAGCAGCAGTCTACATGATTTATATTTCCCAATATCAGAAACAACCCACCAGTATTTCTAGAACAGAATTAAAGTACTAATATACTAATAAGAGCATTTAGTGCATCTTACCTGTCAAGTTTTGGATTATCTTGTCTTTCCCTTTGTTGCTCAAATCGTAGTTTCAGTCCTTTAAATGTCTGCACATAATCTACATCTTCCAGTGCTTTCCAGTAATTTTCAATTACATGAGTTGTTAATGATTTTATATCTTCCTACAGGAACAAGCAAACATAGTGACTTATTTTAATTCAAATGAATTTATTTAACACCATATAAAAAGTAACTGAAATGAGATACTATTTTTAAGCATTCCACAGGAAGCATATTATTAATTAGCATATGCAAAAAAGAGTATTATGCATACAATCTTAGTTTAAAATCTAGAGCTTCAATTATTTGAAGAGCAAAGTTGGCAAAATAGCAGCAATTTTCTAGAAATATCTCCTCCAAAACACAGGAATAGAACCTAAAATCCTCACAGAAAATTATACCAAAACCAAGTCTAAATATCTTCCTGCCATTAGCTTATTTTTATATTGACAAACTGACTGATATTTGTAATCAGTCAATCAAAATACACATTTATGAGATATATAGTTAGCATTCATATTGTTTGTTTCCTTGCTGCAAACAAATTACTTTTGTAAAAACAATTATTCAGAGCATTTTTTTAGGATGAGAACAAGGAAGGTATTTTTCATCAGAAACTAACATCAGGGTTTTCCCTTTGTGGCCATATAGTGCCAGTCAAGGTAATTTACAAAAACCTCCCACCTGTTCTGCTATTTCAGTTTAGTGCTGTGGCTGCCCAAAGCCACCCTAGACAGCTGAGACTAGCACAGGTCTGCACACTGCAGCAGAAATACTGCTCCTGAGCACTGTCTGGCTTTCTTAGCCCTGGAATACACGGCAGAATAAACACCTGATTTGCCATCCACTATTAATGAGCAAAACAACATAAATTTTAATACACCGGTTATTTTCTCTTCTGATTATATGCTCAAAGGTCACATCTTATAAATGGAAATACATCAGTAATAAAAGCACAATTTTTAAAATTTAATCTCTTTAAAAAGAAACCTGAATGAAATAAACTTGACCAAAACTATTTCCAGATACAAAGAAGTATTACGGAAATGCAACATGGATACCTCTACGTGTAAAGAGGGTAAGAAAATAAAAGACTATTTATTTCCTCACAGCATGGACTGCACAATCCCATAGAGTACTGGCAGACAACAGCAAAGAAGTCAGGAACACAGTTTCAAAACCATTTTAAAATCAACTCTTCCACAATGACTAAGTCATTTCAGTCTTCAACTACCTTGAGCCCCAACTCAAAGAGGAATGAGGTCATCAGCACAGAAGAGTTCAAAAGGTGACAAAGCCTCCGTTTTTCCTCTACATCCCTCATCACTGTCTGCATCCTAGCTTGGCCCCACTTACCACATTTACAGTCTATATAGCATCTTTCAGAATTTGCACGCTGGCAACAGTGAGGAAACCGTACTATTTAGACAGCCAAATGTGCATGTTCTAAGAGACTCGCCATGGATGGGAGTTTGCAGCACTCCATTCATATGGCTCTTCTGCATATTTCCATATTCTGTTGAACTGACATTACAGAGCATGACTAAATTTGATGTTTTTGTAGCAACAGTTTCAAATTACATTCCTGTCATAACAGGCCCATCCAAGCTGTATGATGAAACTTCATTAGGGCTGCCTTTCCAGCTCTGGGTACTGTACATGAAGTATCAGGTGAATCTAATTTTTAAGTCACAGTACTGTTCAAATGTAAGAAAAAACATGTATGAGGATATAACTGATACAAAAGAAAGTTCATTTAAATACAGTAACACATGGTCATATCACTATGATAGCATAATTTAGGGTACAAGCAAAACAAAGTCTTCTTGTACTACAAGATGAAACAATGCAGTGATTATCTTCAGCATATAACAGCACTCACCACTCTGATAAATTCAAACATCTCTATTATGGCAGAGTTCATCAGATTATAACGGGAACCATTATTTAGAAATGCTTTGACCACAGGTTCAAACAAAAAACTTTTCATTATGTAACGGTTGTAGAATTCATCCTTTAGTCCAATTATCTTTCTCTTGAAACGAAGGGCACCTGAAACAAAAGTGTTGTCCAGAGAATTCTTAAATTTTTAAAGAAAATAAATAATCTAGAAAATACTCAGCTACTCAGCAAGAGTACTTATCATAAGAAGAGTTACTTATAAGAAATCCTCCATCATAACTGTACAAGTAAAACCCCTTCCATTTACTAGATAAATAATATACTACTGTTTGACTATCTTACTATTAACATAAAGATGTATTTTTTATTTTAATTACACATGAGCAAGAAAAAGTATTTTCTCAATAGACCTGGGAAATTTGCTTAGCGTTCCTATTATTCAAATGAAAGTTTCATTACATTTCACTAAGTCCATTTTATTAGGATGCAAACTATCTCATTTTAAAATTGGTAAATGACATGTTCTTCACATACATAGTAAAGCAAAGGCTTAAATTACATCCAGTTTAAAGCACTTTCTGAAAATCCAAAGCATTCAAGGGTTCTGAAACCAAACTTGGGCAATTCAGTTACCAATGGAAAAGATACTTCTTATTTATGGTACTGCTCAGTCAACTTTAGGCTTTGTTTTACTCCATGTGCACAACTGAACTGTGGAAAAAAATCTCTTACTTGCTTCCAGAATTAAGACCCACTGCTTTGCTATTACTGTGTTGAACATGGTGTAGAAACTATCAGAGTCTGAAGGGCACCAAACTGAAAGCCTGTGCTCTTTAATGTAGTCAGGTAACTGTATCTCTTAATTAAATACCTTCTATTTAAAAAACATCAAAACTTAAAATGGTTCTTTTAGGATATGCCATACTGCAATACCATGTCTTCAATTCACCTCTACATTGAGATTTACAAAAATCCTCCTGCCTTTTAGAAAATGCAAAATAATTTACTAATACTAGCTAATATATCTACAAATGAGAAACACAGAGTCTAACAGTAGAAATTCCACATTCAGTTCCACAAATTGTCATAACCTGTGAACATTTTTCCTCCAGCACAATGAAGGTATGTAACACTTCACATACACAAAATACTAGTTTATTCTGTAGCTTTCAAAACTTACACAATGCCAAGAAAGCATGCTTTGAGGCCATGAGAACGAGTACCCTTCGCAGGATATCTTTGTTAATGATGTAGTTCTTTATGTGGTAAGTGTGATGTTCTACACAGAAAGTCAGCAACTCCAATATCAATGCCAAGAGTTGGGCTGTCTGAAAATCATCTATAATAAAAACAAACCAAAAATAATTAAACATATCTAGGATATTGTCTTCAGAAGTTAACTTCAAATATCCAACAGCAACAATAAACATTTTCAAGTTCTTGTATATTCCCACCGAGAGAGAAGATACTGTAGGGTATTTTTAGTCTTTAAAATAGAAAATAAATTGAAGACTACAGATATGGCAGGAAATGCTCTTAAGATAATTAAATTTTGTTTGAAGGTTCAGATGGCCCTATATACAGTATCCTAACTAAGCTTGTACCAAAAACATGACCTATTATGCCTTTCAACAAAAGTACTATGAAAGAAATATCTCACTCTTCTCATACTTCCAAGACATAATCATATCAGCATATACAAAAAAGTAACTCAAATCCTGCTTGTAAGTAGATAACTTAATCTGATTTACAAGGTAATGCTGCCTTTGTAAAAATACTGCCAGATTGTTGACCAATAAAGAAAATAAGTTTTTTAAATAGGGAAAAATCGTACTTCCAATCTATCTGGAAGAGAGATAAAGCAGGTTAACGTAACTAATTCCTTGGAAACTATACAATAAGTTCAAAAGTTTACAGAATGTTTAGTTATCATTTATATACCTCTTTTTGGATGCGACATAATGTTCATAAACAAACAGTACTGCTGCTGGTAGAGAGCAAGAACAGTTAACTTAATCACTGATCTCTGCTCTCTTGGTCTGATTTAGAACCAGTACTCTCAAAAATTCAGCACAGTATTGTGATATGCAGCATCTCAGGGGCTATTTTGCATCTTCTCTACTAAGTCCTGTCCTTAAGCCACTGTGCAGCCCTGTGATTTACTAAAAATTATACAAATATTTTCATTTCTGCTGAAAGCTGAAGCAAGTGCTTTTCACTCCTTAAATCAGTTATATCTGCTGAATTTTATACTTCTAGATAATTTAAATGACTAAATAATAAATCAATATTTGCATCACACTACGTATTACAGTCTTAGATTCTCTTAAAGAGAGAAGACATCCTTTGACTGTTACTCTATTGTAAACACTGACATTCCACAGCCTTGATAAGCCCAACATCCAGATTGGCATTACCTTTGCTAGGCTTGTCCTCGGTAGTATTGGCCAACAAAGGGGCTGTCAGAACATGCATGCAGTGTTTGTAGAAGAAACCCAAGAACTCAGTCTTTTCCGTTTTCTAAAGAATAATAATTTAAAAAAATTACATATATAACAGATGACCAAATACTCTACAAAAAACAACTGTAATTTATTTTGAAGGTATTTACTTACATTGGCAGTGGCAAGCATATTTTCTGGATCAACTAAAGTACGAAGCAAACCCATAAGTAGAACTGCCCCTCCAAGTTCTGGATCTGTGTCACAAATCATGTGTTCTATAATGAGGTTAATGAGTAATATATCCTAATGGGGGGAAAAAAAAAAAAGCAAAAATCAATTCTGATGCTACTGCCTTGCCCCAAATATAAAATTAGCTTCTGAAAGACTTACTGTTACTGCCTGTTTACAAACGGGCTCAATCATAGAATCCTAGGGGTTGGAAGGGACCTCGAAAGATCATCTAGTCCAACCCCCCCTGCCAGAGCAGGGTCACCTAGAGTACATCACACAGGATAGCATCCAGGTGGGTTTTGAATGTCTCCAGTGAAGGAGACTCCACAACCTCCCTGGGCAGCCTGTTCCAGGGCTCTGTCACTCTCACAGTAAAAAAAAAAATTCAGATATTCACCTTGAACCTCCTATGCTCCCATTTGCACCTATTACCCCTTGTCCTATCACTGGTCATCACTGAGAAAAGCCTAACTCCGTCCCCCTGACACTCACCCCTTATATATTTGTAAACACTGATGAGGTCACCCCTCAGTCTCCTTTTCTCCAAGCTAAAGAGACCCAGCTCCCTCAGCCTTTCCTCATAAGGGAGATGTTCCACTCCCTTAATCATCTTCGTAGCTCTGCGCTGGACTCTTTCAAGCAGTTCCCTGTCCTTCTTGAACTGAGGGGCCCAGAACTGGACACAATACTCCAGATG